CATGTCCTTTGGACCTCCAAATCCACTTGTTTCACTAGCAGATTTGAGGTTGTTGGGAATAACTAGGGGATTTGGCCTTTGCTTGGACGATGCTATTGGAGTAAGCTGTAGCATTGTGTAATTTCTCTGTACATGGAAGGGATAAATTGACATGGCTCATCTTGGCTACCATACACCATCCATGGTGAAAAAATATCATTCCAATCGTTTAATATTTCTGCAACCTATTATCAGCAATATGCCACAACTGGTGTTAACAGTTAACTGTTAAGACAACGACAAAAAGATAGATGGGAGCCTAGAGCTTAGGAAGTTCCAGAGGAGCACAACTTTACTGGCTTAAATTAGCGTTGGGACTAAACATAACTTACGCAGAATCATGTTAGGATGGAAACCCTCTTGCCTAGATATGCCTCATAAACAAGGTTTGCCTAACATGATTTCCAAATGCATTATCCTGATAATATTTTTGCGTAATCAAGCTTAAAATATCAATGGACATCAATCAATCACACAGCTCAACTGGGACCAAAAGGAAGCAATATATGGGTGAGGATTTTGGCAAGCTAGGAGGATCCAACACGAAAACATATTGACTGAACTATGGAACTTACAAGAGTGCTCGGTCCTCACGTACATTGTTGTCAACTTCAATGATCTTTGACCCAGCTAAAAGTTGCATAACCAGTCCCGAAGTAACAATGGGGGTGATTCCTAGCTCCATCACAGTTCCACGATTTGAAGCAAGGATAACACGCATCCAATAGAATGGATCGGCACCAGTTGTGGAGTGTATGCCATACAAAGGTAACTGACTGCATACCAGGAAAATGAAGAGAGAAATCACAGTGTATAAAACCTTCTCTCTGAATGGAATTTTTCGATCAGCACTCTGCACTTCAGGCAGGAATGAAAGAAACGGACGAACGAGATGGAGCACTCTGAATCCGCCTCCCATCTTGTTTTCTACAACTTAACCTGCTGTTCCAAAATGTATATTCTTAGAAAGACTGAGTACTAATCGAGCACACAGAACACTCTACTAAAACAGGCACAAACACATATTTCAAATCAAAGAGTTCATGGAGTTGGATAATGGGAGGGCAACAACAGAGGGACACAAAGTTGAACATGTTGAATTCTATGAAGCATCTACTCTAAAAAAATATTGTTACAAAAGCTCACTCATTTATTTATCAATATTGTAATACAACTTTCACCGCACCGGCCCGATTGGACAGGATAGTGAGATTCAAACTCCTGCTTGATACCCAATTGTGTGAACAATAACATCTAAAAGCTAACTAGCTAAATGTGACAGTTTTTAGAGGAGATGGTCATACAATTCAACAAAACAACTCGCTAACAAAACAAGGAAAGGAAATAAAGAACATTTGCATAGTAACAATGCTGCTGAAGATCAAAAAATGAAAATAAATTCGAACGAATTAGACACTAAAAAAAGACAACTGTAATGTAAGGATTCATCATGAAATTAGCTAATTTTACCTACTGTCAGTCTATCGCAACCCTCCTCCTTTACCTGGGCTTGGGAGACATTACAAAAAAATTATAAAATAAAATAAAAATCGGAAAAAGTTTCTCAAATCAATCAGGACAAAAAGGAATTAAATCTAACACATCAACATGTAACATGCAGCAGATCTGAAAGAACAAGTAATTCCAGAAAATGCTTATTTACTTCTTTTTCATAAAACAAATTACCCTTCAGCTCACGAACTAAGCTATTCCAATCAATCAACTATATCTAAGTCCTAAATTAGTTTGCATCAACTATATAAATCATTTATATCAATTCGGTTCACTCGTAATTCAGAAATAAATCAAAATATTAAATTCGTGGCTAATTAACTAGAAAAAAACAAAAATTTGAAATGAATAAATGCAAATACTAATAATTTTGGAAGGTGAATAGAAGCATGAGGCTCACCAAATTGAAGATTTGTTGAAAATCTATGGATTTGAAGGAAGGAGAATGGAGAATTCTCCTTTTCAGATCTATAAAATAAATTAATATTAAAGCTGCGCCGTGTCGTCAACTAAAAATGAGGAACGAAGGTTGACACGGAACTCTTGTAACGTATTGCATCCAGTTATTCAATGACGCGTGTCTCGAGCTGTCAAGCTGACTGGATTTAGCTCAAATTAAAAGATTTTAGTTAAACACACGGAGTGCTTTGGTAGGGGGTATTAGAAAAAAGGCGAAATACATACGGAGAGACACTTAAAGTTGGCACTATCTTTCATTTAGACACTTAAACTTAAGAGAGTTCCTATTGAGCACTTATACTATCCGAAACTTATTCCAATTGAGCACTTCTTGCTGAGTTGACACATAAAGTGAATTTCACCCGATATAGGCGCGTGAAGACCCAAGAAACAGATTTTTTTTTCTTTTTTCTTTTTTATTTCCTTCATCTTCTCCCTGAAAACCAAAACAGATCTGCGTCTCTTCACTGCCAGAATTCGGCAAGAGAAACCGGCGACCTCATCCTCTCCAAAAAACCAACGAGTTCCCCTCTTCTTCTCCCGTGCTGGTCACAGAAAAGATTCCAAAACCCTAGGAAAACGATCTGGGTTCCAACGAGCTCCCCTCTTAACAAGAGTTCAATGTTCTTCAATTTTTGATTTTTTAATTTTTATTATTGGATTTTAATTTTTCTTGTAAATCCTGGATTTGATTTAAGGTTGGAGAAGTCAAGAGCAGTAGCCGCATCCCCTTGTTGCAGTGAACTGCAATTAAATGAAATCCACCATTAATGGGTCTTTAAAAAGCTTGAAGGTTTAAAATGGGTTACTTGATTTGATGAAAGTTTGGGAAATTAATATTGGAGTTGTCTTTTGGTCGTCGTGGGGAATGTTTAGCTGAAGTTATAACAAATTTGGTGGAGTTTCTCTTAAAAATTTGGATTAAAATCGTGCTTGGAACAAGAACATACATGAAAATTATGAAAAACACCAAGACCACTAATTATTTTGTTTATTAAATAGATTTAACATAGTTTTTCCTTTTTTTTACTCAAAATAATATATGTCCTTTTATCATTCGCCACGTCAGCAGCGAGTGCATTTCACAAACTTTGTAAGTTTGGCTGATTGTCAAATAACTACTCAATTGGAATAAGTTTCGGGTAGTATAAGTGCTCAATAGGGACTCTCTTAAGTTGAGGTGTCTAAATGAAAGATCATGCCAACTTTAAGTGTCTCCGTATGTATTCCGCCTAGAAAAAATAATGCAAGCATTACCTCTGTGCATTACTAATATCTCGTTTGATATATATTTTTCAACATTTGTATAACTAATATACTTGTATTAGTTATACATTATACTTGGTATTATGCTATGTATAAGCAATGCATAAGAAACCATGATATTAGTAATGCAAGGGTTTTTAATGATTGCATAAACATGGGAAAAGACCTAATTGCCCCCATCAAATCCCTAATAAAAGCCTTTCCCCATATTATTAGCAAACAAATTTCCTTNATTTCCTCTGTACGCTTTGGCCATGGAAAAGCACAGTTAATTTTTATCTATAAAGTTAATTTTTATAGCTAAAGTTAAAAATTATGGAGGGTACTTTTGTAAACACCCTATTTTTAAAAAATTATGCAATGCTTTAATACACCAAACCAAACAGTGAATAAAAAATAATCTCAGCATAACTAATGCCAGCATTACTAATACACTCTATTCAGCACTATTGTTATACCTCCTACCAAACGACCCCTAAGTGGGCTTTTGGACATAAGAATTGTAAAATTCCAAAAGAAAGTTAAAAAAAATTCAAGTGAAAAAATGGTATTTGAAAATTGGAGTTGTGTTTGGACATGAATATAATTTTGAGTTATCTTTGAAGTTTTGTGAGTGATCTGAGTGAAAATTTTAAAAAACAGCTTTTTGGAGTTTTTCAAATTTTCGAAAAATTCCAAAATTCATCTTCAAGTGAAAATTGAAAATTTTATGGCCAAATACTGATTTTGAAAAAAGTGAAAAAATTCTTATGTCCAAACGAGCTCTTAATTATATGAAGTACTATATAGTATAATATTGTTCTATATTTCATGCTACAATGAGTCCATTTGGCTCTGTGATAAAAAGGAGGCAAGAGCTGATAATAAACACGACGTGTTAAAAAGCACTTTTAAGTATGAAAATATTATAAATAAACATTGTACGTTTTTGATATAATTATTGAAGCTATATTTAGCAATAGTTAAAAATAAGTAAAATATCATTAAAGCTAGTATTTTACATGGAAAAGACGGACGACTAAAATGGAATTGTTTTAGGAAGGATATAATAGAAAGAAATTTTAGCTATATAATTGTACATATTTGGCCAAACTAAAATTCTTATAAGTGAAAAAGTTATAAGTTAGAGAGTAATCAAGGCTTTTGTGACCTTGTTTGCTCCCGATGACTCACATTTTGAAGAGTGCTCTTGCTAGTTTTTCTCTTTCCTTTCATTTTAATTTTTGATTGGAGAATTGAGCAACTTAAGTTTGGACATTCAAATTGCAAATAAGTACAAAACACTAACGATTGAAGCTCAAACACAATTAAAGTACAGTAAATTAGAGTGCAATAAGTGACTAAAACACATAATTATAACCTACCATCAACACCCCACACTTAAATCATTGCTCGATCTCGAACAATCACACTACACTTTATATAAACACGACTTTTTCAAACAACTCTCTTAGGTTCATATGATTTATGAGGACAGAGCTTTGAAATTCTTGATGATCAATTACAACAGCATCTACAACTTGGTGCTGCATAGCTGCCAAGTTTAGAATAAAACAGATCTATTTAAATTCAGTAGTTGTCAATTGCTATCTTGAAAACCGTATAGTCAGGAACCTTTTCCAACTTTAAGAACTACATTTTTTTTCATTTTAACATTTTGGGAAATCTCATTCAGAATGCATCAGATAGTAGGATATGAGAAGGTTGAACTAATATGAATCTGCTTGGAGATGGCAGGTCTCTGTCCTGTCGAGTTATCAATATTATACTTCACTTGACATCAGTACATGTTGAAAATACTGTAACTGAGCACATCACCTCAGTTTACACAAGAATTGATGTGTCTTTGGGTACAGAATGTATAACGGATGAAGGAGACGCCACTTTTCGATTACTATAAGTGTGAACATTAAGGAATGTCTGCAACTTTACAAACAGTGGAGTATCAAAAATCATGCAGAAACAGGTTATGCATACAAGAAAATGGTCCAAACTGTACCCAAACAAACCATGAAAAACCGGTAATCTCTGAAGTTTCAAGAACTTCTGAGATTGAATCTGAATCTCTAAGTCTTCTTGAAAAATGATAGAATATTCCCTTGCTTAGGATCCTTATTTCCTGCTTTCTTGTTTCCTGCTTTACCTGGTTGATGCATAGGTGCAGTACTTCCCAGCGCGGGAGACTTCTTAGCCATAGGTGGTCTGAAACATACAAAATAATGTTAAAAGATTGCTAACCAGAGAGGAAGCGAAGAAACGATGATGACTAGGAAAGGCTCAAAAATGTAGAAGGTAGTAATTACGATTGAAATTATCACGTTAACAAGCAGAGATAATCTATCATCAAACCTAGAGGCTGATGGAGCCTATTTTCTACGGGTTCAACTGAATGTCTGAACCTAATATTTTTGACACGGAACATAGATATATAAGTGAAACAACAACAACCCAGTAAAATCCCACTAATGGGGTCTGGGGAAGGTATTGTATACACAGACCTTACCCCTACCCTGAAAGGGTAGAGAGACTGTTTCCGAAAGACCTTCGGCTCAATAGAACAAAAGGACAAAAGCAGAGAATATTAGTATCACCACAGAAATAATAAGAAAAAATATGAACATGAAATCCAGAAGAAAGATGCAAAGTAAAGCGATAGCTATTAAATACGCCGTGCATTGAAATAGTAAGACACAACAATGGCACTAGCTATCTTAGGTAAAAACCCTACCAGACTAGTCTCGCAAATGTATAAGTAAGACAAGACTCAACTACCTCCTAACCTACAACCTTAATACTCGACCTCCACAACTTCCTATCAAGTGTCATGTCCTCGGAAATTTGAAGCCTTGCCATATCAAGTCTGATCACCTCTCCCCAATACTTATTAGGCTACCCTCTACCTCTTCTTGTCCCCTCCACATCTAGCCGCTCGCACCTCCTTACTGGAACATCTGGACTTCTCCTCTGAACATGCCCGAACCATCTGGTCTCGCTTCCCGCATCTTGTCCTCAATGGGAGCCACTTGCACCTTCTCCCGAAAATCATTATTCTTAATCTTATCCATCCTAGTGTGCCCGCACATCCACCTTAGCGTCCTCATTTCTGCTACTCTCATCTTCTGGGTATGTGAGTTCTTAACAGGCCAACACTCAATCCCATACATCATTGCCGGTCTAACCACCGCTTTATAAAACTTACCTTTGAGAATCGGTGGCACTCTCTTGTCACACAAGACTCCAGATGCTAACCTCCACTTCATCCATCCTACCCCAATACGATGTGTGATATCCTCGTCGATCTCCCTCCCCCTGGATAATCGACCCAAGGTACTTGAAGCTTCCTCTACTTGGGATGACCTGTGATTCAAGCCTCACGTCCATGCCCACTTCCCTCGGCTCAGTGCTGAGCTTACACTCCAGGTATTCTGTCTTCGTCCTGCTCAGCTTGAAACCCTTAGACTCAAGAGCTTGTCTCCAAACCTCTAGCCTCTCGTTAAGACCGGCTCGCGACTCATCAATCAGAACTATGTCATCGGCTAATAGCATGCACCATGGCACCTCCCCTTGAATATGGTGCGTTAACGTGTCCATCACCAAGGCGAATAAGAACGGACTGAGTGCAGAACCTTGGTGTAACCCCATTACAATCGGAAAATGTTCAGAGAAATACTAAATTCTGAACCCATAATTTTGGAAGTGCAATGAATTCAGTTGAGAACTTTAAAGGTTGAACTGAGTAAGTTAAAATCCTAATCCTGAATCCGCCTCTACTCAAACCTTTGGCCAAGTTAATAAAAAATATATGGAATACTGTACAGACCCATTTCAAACATATCTTGGCTGATCCTAAGGCCAGAACAGTAATGTCACCCAATTGTTCATAAAAGGTGATGGTAACCACGTCTCAACATCATCTTAGCCGGAAAAATGAAGGAAAGCTTTTGTATGTTTGGCTAAGTAGCCTCAATGCTCTACAGGCCTCTCTAACACGCATATACTTTTAGTCAGACGTTAATGTCATTTCTATTAACATATAAGGACTTGAAATGTCCAACATTAGAGCAACCATGTGTATTATAGTGACATCAATAAAATGCCTGAACATGAATGTGTTCACCTGTCACCAGTACTATTAACTGGTTTGTTGTCAGCTTTCTTCATTGTATTACCGTCAACCTTTGCTTCTGCATCTTCACCCTCCCAAACAACTTCGGTCACTGAAGAGTGCACGCAAATGAATCAGTGCAGAGACAAAAATCTTTCGGTAGTTATACTAGCGCATTAAGGCATAGAATCTGGCTACTCTTGAGTAAAGAAATTAGTAGAGAGATCATCATATCTATGTGAAAGGAAATGAGCATGAATATTATGAAATAAGAGAATGTGCATTCAAGAATAAAAATTCCTTAAATGATAGAACAGGATCTGACAAAAAAATAAAAAACAAATATCAATGCAATCTTCTGCGATGAGTTAACTGCTTAGCTCACTAAGAATTGATATTTTATTCACTAGGAGCTTTCTTAAGACTGCTCTAAAAGGCCTGAAAAGCAGCAATTAGAGGGGTCAAGACTATACATAAGTTTTTCATAAAGAATCATGGATAAACATTATTGGATACATTTAATGTTTCATTATCTTAGATCATATAATGTTTCATTATCTTAGATCATAGGGTAACACATGTATAGTGAGGAAAGGTCGATTTTCACGTTCAACTTTCTTCCCTCCATGGCATGACCCTAACCCAAGTATCAAACTGTTATACTTAATTTAGACAACTGAATTTCAACATAAGTCATACCTTCTCTTCCACGTTCATCAATTTGTGTCTTCAATATTTTTCTCCTTTTAGGGGAAACTGGAGCAGCATCAGCCACTTCATCCTTTACAGTTGCATTCTTAAGAGTGGCATGTTCTGAAATCATCTCTGAAGAGGACAACTTAGACTTCTCCGATTCGCTGGTAGGTAAGGGTTCTCTTTCTCGCTCATGACTCTTGGTGCTAGCCTCCTTTGCCTTCTTGACTTCCTGCTTTTCCAGTTCTAGAGTACTAGGACTTTGTTTTGATCCTAAAATAAATTTCTGCTTTGGAGGATCAGGTGATGCTAGGTTGACGGCATCCTTGAATTCATCTTCTTCATCCGAAAAATCAAAAATTACCCTCCTCTTTCTATTTCCCTCACCATTTGATGTTCTCCTGACGCTGACTTGTTGATCATCATCATCACTGACCCTATCTTCTATTCCTTCCGGAGTACATATTTGAGCCGCATTACCTAAGTAAACATTTGTTCCAAAGGAAAGAAGTGGTCAGTCAAGGACCAGAACAAAACATAATACCAACTTCAATGACAAGCAACCAAACAGCCAAAGGGACAAACCAGCAGGATTTGGTGTGGCGTCACTGGTAGCAGCTGAAACACTGTCCGCTTTTGGCTTTGTGGATACACGACCCCACATATTAGCCAATGCCCCGCCATTTTTAGCAGAACTTTTGTCAGACTGAACTGCCTTCTTAGCAGCCGGCAGTTGAGCAACTTTGTCTTTTTCTGCAGCAAGCTTACTACCCTGTCCAGGACCTGATGTGCCACGACTCTCACTTTTGGCATCAACCACATGCGAAGATGGCACATTGGCACTAGGACTTGGTACCTGAACCTTTTTCTGCTCAGGTTGCGCTTGAGCAGTAGAGTTACTTTTACGAAGTCCTAATGCTCCACTTTTCACCTGAGGAACAGTAGCAGTGCTTGGAATTGTTCCTCCACCATTGCGCTTGACGAAAGGATTTGAAACTCCACAAAATCTGCAATACCAGTGACAATCAGAAAAGGAATCAACACCACCCACCACATGTGCATTCCACAACATGAATTGCCTAATCACTTTAAAATAATGAATGTTTGTCAAAATTCTTAATGATTTGCATATCAAGGAAGAGAAAAAATTATCCACTCTAAAATATAAGTCCTATACCTATTATCAAGCAAACAATTATCAACTGAGAGGGGCTGCCTAAAGAGCTCTTCAGCCTGGACAAATTCAGTATTCCAGAGGGCCACTGGATCCTTAGGGATGCAAGCTTGCACGCTATAGACCTGAACTGAGCAATCGTCCGATAATTCTTTCTTGGCTTCTGCATAGAAATTAGCCGGATTATCTTTGATAATAGTTGCAACAACTAGCCACGGCAACCAAAGCGCATGAATAACAGATAGGAATATATAAAACTTCACTTCTAGCATATTTCCATCAAAATGACACACTCATAAAAGCTTAATGAAAGGTAAAATGGCAATTCTAACATGCTAGCTTCAATTAGCCAAAGGTCAACTTCATAAGTGGATGAGGATAAGAAAGCTGCAAACAACTTATGTAACTAGGAATCATCTTAATGCATTCTTCATTCAGAATTGATATACTCAACCAGTTTTTGATGTCATGAAACTGGAAATAATGAAATGGATCAAGGGCGTGGATCTATCATCTTTCCAAGTGACGAACAAGAAACTTATAGTCTCAAATTCTTTATCTTTACTATTAGTTTCTTGCAGGATCAATAGACTCAAAATTACATACTTGCTAGAGCTGAACAGAATCTCCATCACCGTCCACACCAATAAAGCCCGAAATTAAAGCTTGTATCACTTATAGGGCGCTAGATGTATCAGAATGCAGATATTGTTATTAGCATGAGCTGAACCAAGTATTAAGCTTCTGAATATCTAACCATATATTACTGGTAACTAGTCAAAGTAAAAGAACCCGGTCAGAATAAAGAGAAATCTTAGTCTTCTAGGTAATATTATAAAGCTATGCTTCTTCTATGGAGAAAACCTTTTTTACTTAAAATAATTAACTGAGATTTCTAGTATGAAGCAGAGAACTGGCACCAAGAACATATACATCAGTCTTTAGAGAACTGGCACCAAGAACATACACATCAGTCTTTAGACATATGATAAAACAGAGAGGCAGCTAACAGGAATTTTGTATTTTTGTTCAGCTATCAGCCCCCAATACTGGCTTGAGAAAGTTTTGAAGTTGATATATCAGGAACATCCTCCATATGGTTCCAACTAAGGTGCTAACTTGGTAAGAGAATGAAAATAATAGTAAAAAATCGGAAAAGGGGGCAACGAGTTCAGCTCGCTCCAATGCAAAATGTATATAGCTAACGCCCGGTAAAACAAATTATTTTCATTACAAAGTGACATTTAAAAAGGACATCCAACCTGCGAGGTTAGGAGTAGAGACAAGTCTTATATGGTAGGTTGAGGGGCTAGTTTTCAACCAGCCAGACAAGCTATAGACTACCTCAAGACCATTTCCATGCTTTTCAACAAATTCCTGAAGCAACCTGTTATAAACAAGCAATTAGCCTTAGCATTACAAGATGGACAAACCAAAACATACCTTACAGAAGAATTCACTAAAAGCTCTCACCTCTTTGCAGAATCTGATGACACCAAAAAATTTCGACTCAGCCACTNCCAAACAAAAAAATATAAAAAGAAAAAAGACACGTCCTTTGACTTGGGTTAGTAAAAGGGCTACCAAGTCTTTGGTGACTTAGAAATTCTTTCATTTTGTAACTGAAATTGTGAAGTTAGTAAGTTACAATTCTAATTGAGCAGATTCATCTTGTAAATGATTCAATTTCATTTCAATCTGTATATATACAGTTACAAGAGGTACATTAGGGATTCCTTGAATGAAATATGACTTCTCTCTCCTCTCAAAAATTTCTTCTTCTTCTGCTAGAATTCTCGGATTCATTTCCTGATCTAGCTTCCATCTTCCTCGAGCTATAGCTCCTGGATTGTTCCTCATTCATTTGTTGTGTGTATGCATCATCCCAGATGCGGATCTAGGATCTGATCACTATGGGTTTGAGTTCAGGATTCTACCACACCCCATTTGATTTACTGGATTTGAAATCTATTAGTTGTACCTATTCAGTGGAACACAAATATAGGGTCCATAAGTTATCTTCCAGATCTGCCCTTGCATCAACACCCCCCCCCCCCCCCCCCCCCCCCCCCCACAAACCCAACCAAAAACAAGGGGAGAGTGAATTATTAAGAATTGCTCCCATTCCCCCTGAAATTCTACAACTAAGCAAACAGAAAACTGTCTGAACCAAGAAATATGTGCTTCCTACATCAATGAAACTTAGCTTTATCTTTATTTTACTTTTTTTTCAAAATTAGCAAACAGAAAGCTTTCTGGACTAAAACGACTATGCTTTCTAAAACAATAAAAAATACTCCCTTTGTCCCAATTTCTGTTATATCCTTTTCTTTTTAGTTTATTCCAAAAGCATGATACTTTTCTTTAGAAATAATTTAACTTTAAGCTTCCCATTTTACCTTAATGAGATATTTATAGCCAATATAAATTTTTGTGACTTGTTTTAGACTAAAAGTTTCAAAAGTCTTACTTTCTACCTGAAACTCCATTGCATTCAAACTGTAGACACTGAAATTTTAACGGATCAAGCAAAATCCTAAATTCAAGACACAAGACGACTGTTGAAATCCTAGGAGTCTATTAGGGTTGCTTGGAGGCTACTCTACCAAAGCCCTAACTTGGGAGCTACTCTACCCTAATCCTAGGTCACTCCTATAAAAAGATTTATGTATCCTCTCAAAGAGGCATCTCAAAAATGGAGATCATATATCCCATAAATTTTGATGTGGCCGGGTAATTCTTGATATTCAAACACTTCAAGAAGATCCACAACATACTTCCATGGATATCAGATACATCCAAAGAGGTATGCATCATCCTACGTTCGAGAAACATGCTACTCCAGCTCTCGAATCATGGAAATAATCAGGAAAGAAGAATCAAGAGAACATACCCACATCATTTTATCAATAAAATTATGTTTCTTCATATTTATATTGTGGTTGCAATTTATTTTTGTATCACAAATAAATTTGATGCAAACACCAACAATGTCACATAAAGTGGGACGAAGAGAGTAGCTTCTTTTTTTTTTCAAAATCAGCAAGCAGAAAACTTTCTAAAACAACTAAGCTTTGTAAATCAATGGAAAATGGCATTTTCTAAATTATTTTAGTGAAATTAGCAAAAGTAAGGAGCTGGTGGGATAAAAAATCCCGTTCAACAGGTCACTTATTATGGCAATTAGAAAGATGAAAATTTGAAAACTTTATCTTAAATTACCGAAATGATAATTTAACAGTCAAGAAAAGGGAATATACTGAAACAAGCGAGAGAGTTTACCACTTGAAGTTTGTCTGATACAAGAGCTTGAATCTCGTCGAGGATGCCTAGGGTTTCCATATCATCCGCCATTTTCGGGTACGTCCAGTACGGGTCGGGTCAAATCTCACAGAGGAGAAACAGTATCCAAATTTCCCCCGTAAAGAGCACTCGATTTCCCGCCATTGCAAAGGACTTGGTGTTTTTATATTGGGGATAGGGAGGGTTGTGTTCTTTGGGAACTCACGTGCGCTTCACGTGCTTGGAGAAGTCTACCACTTGACAGCATATGTATTTGACATAAAATATTGGAACTTACGCAAATGTCCCATATAAATCTCAACTTTACTAACCTCTGGCCATTAGTTATAGACTTACCAAAACTAACCAATTATATATAAAAATTGAAAAAAACAAATAAATAAGATTCTTTCTCTCAAAGAATCACATGCAAAAATTATCTTCCATATTTGTAAGCGTGATTAGCAACATTAGATGCAAGACGGAAAGGAAATTTCGTGGATGAAGTAGCAAATAAGGTGATGAAATACAAAAAAACTTATACTATATTCCAAAAATCTAAGCAAAAAAAAAGAAACTTTTTCGATGGGTATAGTTGAAATTCATTGAAAACATATAGATAAGTCAATATACAAAATTTGAGCAAGATTGGAGGTGATTTGGACCGGTTTTGTACCAAAATTCGTAATTAAATCGAGTTCAAAAAAAATTCTGCGACACATCTATCACGCATGTATCTCACACGCAGGTATACATGGATATACATGTGATACGCAATTGATACAAATATGATACATATGTGATACACAAATGATACATAGTGTGATACGCATATCATTTTTTTATGTTCAGTTTTTTACTTCGAATTTTCAATTCAAACCACCTCAAAACTTCCCTAAATCATCCCAAAACTGAGATTCAAGCTCCTTAAGATGTACCCAATCTATTCTAACAATACCCACTCAAAAGAAAGCAAAAATTTGACTTTTTTTGTTACAAATAGCTAATTGGCTAATATTAGTAATATTTTATGAATTGACCAATTTTTTTAATGAGCTACTTATAAATAGACATAGCTGATAGTTTTCCTAAAATAAATTTAGTGCTCCTCTCATTTTAATTTTAATTAAAACTTCTGCTCTAAATCATCATTTTCTGCAACACGGAATTCATCATTTCGCTGTTATATACAGCTATTATTAACTTTTACGTGGCCAGTTAATATAATCTCTCATGTGCAGATATTTAAAAATGTAAAGATATTATTAAAACAAGAATAAGGAACATTGAGGAATTATTGATATTTTTCAAAAGTAAAAGTACACTGAAGTATATGAAGCTGGAATTGTATTAAAAAAAGTATTACCCAAATCAAATGCTGAAATTCTTCCCCTGAGATACAAATGTTATCGGAATCAAATTAACACATCATGTTCATTTCGTTGCACTAAAGATAATGTTGTTTTATACTCCATGTTACAATTTATGTGGCGGTGCTGGTACGAAGTTTAATAGAAAAATAACAGCTTCTGAAACTTATAGTCTTAAATATGTCATGGATTTTTGTAGCCGTTAAAGCATGTCATTAAAGTGAAAAATTTTAAAAGTTGAATTGTTTTTAAATATAAAAATGTATCATTATTTGGTACAAACTAATAATGAAAGAGTTTAGGTTATATACACCATCTGTATAAAGAAATTTTAAAATATTAGGTTGTCTTTACTTGTTGAAGCATCGTAACCTGCCTTATTTTCAAGATTACAAATCTCACTTTTTTATAGAAACCAGTATTCTTTAGATGACTTGATAGTCTAAAACTCTTTTTACACTGACTTAAACATGCCACATAAAATGAAGAGTAGTTCTTTTCTTATCTTGTCATATATGCAGATGAGCCCCTTAGTATATGGAGAGGCGAAATACGTAACTGTATGCTCTTTCTGGTGACATACCAAATTGTTGCACGAGAAAAACAGCATTGAATCAGCCATGTCTGGAACCTATTTGGGCAGAGGAATTAAACAATCATAATACAGGTGGTATAAAGCAATTCGCTTGTCGGAGTTTCTGGATAACGGAGATTGAAGACCAGAGTGAACCGTGAACAACATTCGCATGGCAGCTTTCTCATGTATAAGCTTAGAGAACATTCAATGCTTTAGTAGTTCACTGGCATTTACAGAGAGCTCAAGGCGGGACGCGGAGAGAAGAGGTAGACCTCATCAAAACTACCCCTACAGTATGAGAGAATGTGTATTAAGTTCTTGAATTCCATCATTCTAATTCTCAAGAATCTCAACAGCTTACCCAGCTTTCCCAGCAAAAGAGGGACTATAATTGTAGATGAGGTTGTCAAGCAATTTGCTAGGCGCTGGCTTGTTAGAAGATTTTCTTGCTTCACTGCAATTTTGCGAAGAAAATAAACAAATGAATTAAAACAAGACACACTAGAAGCACAGCGGTAACTAGAAATTGAAAGGTTCTGGAATCACTTTGGTTCACATTCCACAGCAGAAAGAGTGGGAAAGAATTAGAAATGAGCTGCTAATTCTGGCTATATGTAAATGGGTAGTTCTTATGCTTTTCTTTAATCATTTTATGCGAAAGTAGAGCAATCATCACTGAAGAGTGAAGAGTAGGAACACATTATAGCTTGCACCTAAATAAGAACTGAAGTCATTTATTTTATTTTTTGGTAAATACTAAAGTCATTTAATATATTTCAAACAACCTGTGAAGTCATATACATTGAAGAAACGATCTTGCCTAAAAATCTGCACTTTACCTACTTAGCTAACAACATAAATCTAGCACAATATAGGATGAATCACCTATAACTTCTCCTAAGAAAAGCGNAATTGCATCCTCGGTATGTGGAATCTGTGATGAGCGCCATTCAAAAACATTTTTCTGCAATGACGTAAGGAACTAATGCAGTTAAATTTCAAAACTTCAGATGAAAATGGTGTCAGAGTTTGAATATTTATATTATGTTCAACTTTTCCCTCCAGGAAATAGCTATGCAGGCGTGTAAAGAGTCTTATACTACTTCTCATTTAAGAGAACCTTATAAAGTCATGTAATCATTCCTATGGTGATTAGACCGCATAGTTTTGATTAGGAAACATCGTCAGTAATGCCATTGCAGATATCAAAAAAAGCAGCTTAAATCATGCTTGTCTCCTACCCTAGAGAGCAGCTACAAAACTGTGATAAGATATTTAATAAGGATAACATGAAAGCCACAAAGAAAAAAAGGGTACCAAACTCCAGTACATTAATATAATGCTACCTGACATGTTTTCAGATCTAACAACAATTTCCTGTCTTTCAGACAACAGCTAAATCCAGTTTGTTTCAGATAGCAAAATAGATCAGCCAACAGTTTCCAAAGACAGTACCTCAGGGTGCCACTGGACAGCAGTTACGGGATAGCGTCGTGCTTGAGCAGTGGAGACATAGACCTGAATCAGTTATTAGCAAATCAGAAACAAAAAAGCTCAAGTAGAATCTACACTACATTCCATACCATTTGGTGATAATCTCATAGATAAACCAAAGGGGGTAAAGGAATAGAATACATCCTGTACCTTGTTCTTCTTATCTGTACTAGTCGTCAATATCCTGAAAAAACTACATAAATCTTTATTTGCTTGAAGCCTTTCTGGTGATATGCCAAACTGTAGCATAAAAAAACAACTTTCAGCCTCATTGCAGCATTCAAAAACTGACAAGTTCCAAGAAAATACAGATAAAAACTGAAAGCCAAATGGAATATCTAACATTAAGTAGAATCCATTCTAAGATCAACATGAATCAATCATCTTAAGCTTTTATGCTGTGATCAACTAATTATCTCTCCTCCATTACACCTCTACATAGGCTTTATGCTGTGATCACTAATTATCTCTCCTCCATCACATCTCTACCTAGGCTTTTATGCTGACTAATAACTGGGAGAATGATTTGATATAAAAGTTAACCTGCCAATATGGTTCTTAATTTTAGAAGATCAACCATAAGGGTAGTTTGCTGGTCTTGTGAGTATACACCGCCAACATATCATCAGGAAAAAGTATTTGTCTGACATAGTTAGAAACAAAGTCAACTTCATCTTTAAGTTAACTAATGATCCCAAATATTCTTTAGGAATATAAATAATGTTGCCCTAAGAAACTGCAGTAGAGCGACAGCAGCTCGAATAAATTCTGAAGGTATTGAAAGAGATATGGTAGTAATCCCAAGGCAGGTCAGTTGATAACAAAATGACTATTGATTTTGAAATCAGTGCAGGAATCTTAGCATTTCCAAACTTTTCAGAAAAGATACAAGCCGATTAGACATTAAAAGGGAAACAAGTATTTGTGATACTTCTAGTATAGAGTACCCATTCTAGAGCAATCATGATCTCAAATAGTACAAGTATTATCATGAAGTGATCACAATCTCCACTGATGAAGACGGAGAAAGAGAATTAAATCTTGTACTGATCACAAATAATCTACTACACTAAGGGGAGAGAGAGAGAGAGAGAGAGAGAGAGAGAAGGTAAATCTCTTACTGATCGCAAATAAATTACAAAAATGGCAATATGACAAAGGGAAAAAAGAAACCTATCATGTAAAACATACATGATGATTTTGCATCACAAGGCAATCTGTACTCATCTTCTTTATCAACACAGAGGGGAACCTGCAGGAAACAGTTGATAGCCAGTTGTCTATCATCAAAATTAGAATTACCATAGATCTCTTCACATATTATAAAACTGCATTTTGACGTAGTTGTTAAGAAACTATAAATGTATAATTACATGAATAACTACATACATTACTTTAGCTATTTGCAAATGTGGGTTGTGACAGTTCATTCAATATAAATGTAAGCATATCTTACAGGCAGTAGCTGCCAAACTGCAGGCGGAACAATAGAAAGACAATGCCTTCCCCACTATGCTCATAATAATCTGTGCTACATGGACTCGGTTATGGATAAGTATCCCATACGTGTGTCTGCAAATATGCAGTATGATTAAGGGTAATTTCTTGGTAATCTATAGTGTTTTTTGATAAATAGCACCTAAGTATTCACACGCATCTCACACCAGTTCGAATACCACTAGGGAATCAGTCTTACAACCACCAATTGTTTGCTTCGTAACAGCCATTGGAGAAACATAAGGAAAGAACAATGGACACTTCTTGCAGATCAGATTGAAAAGCCAGGTTTCAATCTTGGTTGCTTTAAATAACCGCTTGTTGTCGTTATCTGATAATTAGTAATTACTACTACAGTAAAAGACAAAAGACATTACAAACCCTTATAATTTTAAAAGTTTGAAATATACACACTATTTGTCATATTTCCTATCAATCAGGCACCTATTAAAAATTTAGCCACTAAAGCCTTTTTTTTTAGAGCCTTTAGAATAAGGGTAACTGGGATTTTCCCAAGTGGGTGAAGATGGAGGCAAAAAAGAATAATAGAGAACATGAAAGAATTTTAAAGAAAAATTTATACCTTCCAAACACTGTTCTTTCCAATTTTACATTTTCCACGAATTGTACTGTAGAGGCTTGATTGGCTGCACTGAATTCCTCGAGAATGTTATTGTCCTATTACAGCCAAAGAAACATCTTAAAATCAACCCATGAAACAAAACTTAAGTAAAGTATTGAGATGAGCTGTTTGGTTCACGCACAGTACCTGGGGAATACGAATCCCACAACACTATTTAAGAAAGCGGGAATGTATCTCTCACATACTGTATTTTGCTCATGGTTGCTTTAGAAAAATATACTAGCTTAGATGTCAAGTACTGTGCAACTTAGGCCAGAAATAATTATCACAATAATATCAATTGTGATATTAGGCTTTTATAAAATAAATTAGATCTCATTACACAAAATAAAACCAGAAAGAAAAGAAATTAAAACATCCAAGCAACTACAATATATAATTCAATATTGCTTACTGATCTAATCCGAATTAACAAATTGATTCCTCATCAAGGTATTATCCAATACCATTTTCTATAGTTTACTGCAAGCCTGCTCATGGAGTCTTACCCAAAAATACTACTATAATTTATTGGATAAACTTGCATACGTACAACAAAAATAAAGCATTTTCATAACCTGTTCATACATATTTGAGTTTCTGGATCTTAAGAAAGCCAAAGTACTAGGAGATTAAACATTATCCGAAATGCATAATAAAACTCTTTCTTACTTCCGATAGAAAAAATTTCCTCATTAGAGTTTGTTTGCTTGGCCAAATACTATCACAAGAGTCCATGCCACCAATTATGTTGTGTTATAACAGTTCAGACTTCTCAATTTAAGTGCCTTTTGATAAAGTTAAACCATCTCTATCTTCCCGTCGGCCTTCATTACCTTGGAGATGATCATTGTTAAAAGTTCAAAACCCAAGCAGATGGCAAGAAGAGGGAAATGCTCACCCGCATCATTCTTCTCCAAGACTTTCTGCAATATCAGGAAATCATTTTCAACGATTGTTGATAACAAACAACTTCGGACATGCTTAAACAAAAAACAACTCTTCAGAATATGATTATTAGCAGAATATGTCTTGGCATTAAACTAAAAAAAAAAACGGAAGATATCCTCTTCAAAGTACAAAATAGGGAATTTGTTCATGCCAAGACTACTTTCCAGATTCCATGCTGGTTCACCAATCACATGCAGGAAATTTTACACGTGCAGAAAAATGCAGCAGTGGTAGCATAACTAGATGCAAGTGTACCAATAGGAGAGAGTACCTGGAATATTCCTTTGACAACCTCAAAGTAGAGACCATCCTTGACCCGTCCTCCAGTGAAGATAACGCCATTGACTAGATTAAGTTTCTGCATGAAGATATGCAATTAATTTGTCAAACTGNAGATAACGCCATTGACTAGATTAAGTTTCTGCATGAAGGTATGTAATTAATTTGTCAAACTGCAAATGCCAAAATGACAGATTATAACATGCATTTTCAAGTCTTTATGATAGCACAGTAGTCTATAAGACATCTTCATGCTAATATATATACAACCAGCACTTAAATACACACAATAAAAAACTTGTACAGGTGAAAAACGGAAGAAACCGAAGGCAATCTTGCAATTTACATACACATCAAAAGATCAGGAACCGAAGCTAAAATAAGGAACTAAGTGGTTTTGGGAACTTGTGAAAAGACCAATCAGTCAACCAATCAACTCTGCCTCAATCTCATACTACTTGGGATCAGCATGAATCTTCTCTATCACTATTATCAGAATTTTCTGGGGAGGAATTTAATAAGATCTTATATAAAGAATCCTTGATATTATCATCTAAATCAAGTTCTTTGATATTATCCTTAACTTTGGAGTCTCTAGCGTAATGGCCTACCCTACCACATTTGTAGCAAGCCTGAGGACTTTTTGATTTTATGTAATTTTTCCTAGCTTTTTGAAAACTTTTTCTCCTCTTTTTTCTCTCGTATCTTTTATCAGGAGATTATTTTTTCTTTTTATGAAAATCTTTTTCTTATGAGGCTTTTTCTTGCTTGCAGGAATATCAATGGCGAACTGATCACAGAATTCACCCAACTGTTGTCTTTCCGTGAGACGATGCTTCTTCATTTGTTGATTTAGCTTAATTTCATTGCATAGAGCTAAAGCTTCTTGAGTGCATACACTAAAGAGTTTTCCATATGAGTAAATATTATAATCGATACTCATCGTTGTACCTCTAAGAGTTTTTCTAGCCCTTTCAGTAAAAAGTGGAGGGAGTCCACCAATAAATTTGGACTTCCAGTGAGTGCTATTACATTCTGGTAACTCCTTAACTCTACATAGGAATATATCCTTATACCATCTAAAAGATGTTAAGGTTTTGCACCTTAAATTTTGAAGCACGGTTCTAATAGTCTCACTATTATCAGACCATCTTCCTGAGAAATGTTCTATAATATTAATAGCTAATGAGTAGACAGCATTTTGGACATTCTGTCCATTTTCTTCTTTTACTGCGCCCATAATGATTGCTTTCTGCTCAGCAGTAAGGTAGTTATCCCACCAACCTTTTAGCTGGCCTGTAAAACCTACTACTATCTTTCAGCAATGGCTTTATCCTTATTATCATTAACCTTACAGATCGTGCTATACATAAGAATTCTATGTATAATATTATAAATCTGGCGATCAGTAAAGCCATCTATGTTCCATTCATAGATTTCCGTCCCACTAAAACTATGGGAAAGATTGCTGCCATCATATTCTTCAAAAAGAACATCTTGAGGGGTTGGTCTAAGATAGTAGAATAGCCTAGAAGTTGGCTTACGAGCATATTTCTCATTGTACTTACTAAAGATTTTATTAATCTCATCTGACACTTTTCATTTTCTAGCTTCATCTGCTAGATGATCCAGATTCAAAGGACTTATCTTTAAGCCTTAAAATCTTTCATCAAGGAGTTTTTCAAGATCCGAGAGACTTGTTAACCTAAAGTCTCTAACCTCAGGAGGAGGTTGGATACTTGAGGTAGCAACTTGCTCCTTACCTTATCAGGATTATTATCCTTTTTTGTCAACTTCTGGATTTCCAAAGTTAACTTGTCTATTCTCTCTTGGAGAGACATAATTTGCTCTCCTAGAATACTCACATAAATATTAGTATAATTACGTTGTTTAAGCATAGTATTAACCTGCTTAACAGTAATCGAGCCAGTCTCATATTCAGAAAATCTTGAAAAAGCTGTAAACTCAACTACCTTGTCTCCACTGCCCATTTGAAAAGATTGTTGTGGAGGAAAAATAGATTTATTAATCTTACCATCACTAAGTTTATAATCCTTTTCAAGAACAGAAATATAATTATGAACATATTTAGCCATAAACCACGGAACAAAAGCTATAATTTTATTATGGCTACTAATATCTTTATAAAAATCATCTTAAAAGAAAGTTATTAACCCATTATCAAAATTATCAAAAAAACAATTTCTAAAAGGATCCTATCTGGGTTTTTTAAATTCTTCAGCAATCATTTTTCTTGCCGGAGAACCCGGACTAAAATCTATTTGGTTTTTATCCATTTAAACCATTTGGAAAATCCATTTCAGATGGGGTGGGGTCAAGATCTGAACTAATTTTAGCAATATTATCATGTCCAATTCTAATATGATCAATTCTATTCTCTCTAATTTGTGATATAGATACTCTAGATGGAAAATTTACCACATAATCAATTGGAGAAATATAAGAATTAGATCTAGTTATTCTAGATGAAAGATTGATATTATCAGGCTGAATAGGTTCATTGAACTTGATTTTAACCGTCCCATCCGAGGTTTGTTCTATTTCCTTAGCCTCAGTATTATCAGTATTTTTAGGAGCTACTGCTTCCTTTATGACCCATTCATTGGGAAAATCTATTGCACCCACTTAATAGATCTTCTAGTAGTAACTTTGGATCTACCAAAGTTAGTCTCCATAAGAATAGTTTCATTTTTTAAATCCATCATTTTGCACATAGGATTTAAAGTATATAAAAGCTTGTAATAACCATGTAATTTAATGCTAACTATTAAAGCATTTAAAGAGTTCTCATCACTCAAAGAAATCTTTAAATTCGGGTAAGCATTAAAATATATTGGGGTATAGACCAAACTGGTCCGTACAGTCCCTATTAGTGACTTTTTCCAATTTTGGTTTCTGCCGTCTCTGAGAGCTACTATAAAGCTTTCAGGTAAGCCTCTTAAGGTAAGTAGCTTAAAGGCAACTTGTATAAAACCTATATGTATGAATCTATGTGTTTCCCTATAAGGGGCCAAATCATTTTCAGATAATAATCTAAAAGTGGCATGATTACTATCTACAGTGATCGTCTCCTCAGTAGTTTTGACTACTTGTTTTAAACCTATTTTTTCAAAAGTACCTAGTTGGTATATAACCATAGGTTTAACTAATAGAATAGCCCATCTGAGGTAATTCATACTCTTCCTTTCTACTGTTTTTAACAATATCCTTTTTTCTAATGATATTCATTAAGAAGAAATATGTTAAACTTAGCACCTATTTATACTCGTTAACCTGGCTCTGATACCAAGTTAATACCAGATCGCTTCTAATGGAGCTACAGGAATATATTATCGGAGACTCCAGTCCTGGCTAGTCATAGCCTCCACAGTAGACCCTAAACCACGGTCCTCCTATCTAACCCTTCTACGCCCATCCTTAGCTAAACGGGTCAATTAAGGATCACTAACAACCTTAGAATCATTGGGTAAAACAATAAAACTAATAACAAAACATGTCAAGAGTAGCTTAGTGTGACTAAGTTTAATACAGAAATACTTAGCGTATCATTTAGGCTAAAGGTATAAACATACTAAATTAAAACTTAAAATAAAAAGTACTTGAGACCAGGAAGCTGTGGCCAAGTAGCCTTTTTTGATTTTTTATTCCCAATATAAAATTTACAAAGGGAGATTTACAAAGGAGGGGATTCTAGAGAGATTGGGAGGCTTTTTAGAGAGAAGGGAGAAGTTAGCCGAAGCCTACCTCTCTACTAAAGATTTTGATCCTTATATAATGGATCGTACCTAAAACAAACAAAAACTAAACAGTAAAATCGCCTGCAAAATAATTACAACGTGGCCGACAAGATAAAGCGTAAATCCTAAAAAGTCAAAAGTTAAAAGAAAAACGGACAAACTACTTTTATAAAAGTAGATTACCGACAGTGGCGGGGTCCACTATATATTAAAGTTTTTTGTCTTCATTATCCCGATAATTCATCAATGGGGCCTTCTGCATCTCTATCAGGCTTTATCTTTTCCTTTATTGTTTTTAGTGGAAGATTCTTCTGTAACCTCTTTGAATTGCTGTAGAAATTTTTCTACTCTTTCGAGGTTTAATTCTTCATTGTCTTCCTCTTGTGATTCTCCAGCTATGACTGCATCTTCTTCCATGATATGTCCTGTGGAGGTCATAGAAATATCATCTGGTATTTCTATCTCCAAATTTCTCATTAAATCTTTCTTAACTTCTTCCGAATACGAAGCTAAGATTTCTTTTTTGGACATGGAAGGCTGACAACTGTCCAAGATATAAGTAATGAGATTACCAATCTCAAAAGGGAAATCTTAGATCTAAAGGCTTCAAATGTAGCCTTAGATAAAAGGATTTTCAAATTAGAAAATTCTGAGACAAATATCAATCAAGGATTCAGTATTGATAGTACTAAAAAAGAAGACAAAGTTGGTACTTCTGAAGATGCTGCAAAAAGCAAATTCTTAGGAGCACTTGATTTTGCAGAAGGGGAATTTCTGCAAAAACTTCAATTTTTTACTACTCAAAAATTTATAATTAGAGTAACTCTTTTAATTGATTATAATTTTAAAAAAGAGTTCATTGCTTTATTTAATAGTAGAGCAGATTTGAGTTGTATAAAAAATGGAGTGATACCTTCAAGATATTTTCATAAAACCACGCATAGATTAAAAAATGCTAGTGGTCATCAAATGGATATTTCTTATAAATTACCAAAGACCTATATTTGCCAAAATAAGGTCTGTAAACAAGAAGTTTTGTTTTGGTCAAAGATATTTCCCATGATATAATATTAGGAGTTCCTTTCTTTCATAAATTAATTCCTTTTACTCACTGGGATACTCAAAGCTTTACAGGAACTTTTAATGGGCAAAAAATTACTTTTGAGTTCATAACTCAGCCAATTCAGAGAATTTAAATGAAATTATTTCTAATAATATTTCTGCAAAGGCTAAGCAAATTGATTTTTAAAAAAATGAAATATGTGGGGGCTAAGCAAACCCTGTTACTATTGAATAGGATTTGAAAAATCAAAAACTCATT